CCTCTATTCAGCCAGTCAAGGCTCGCAACACCTCTGCTGAGGGGAGTTGTCGCATCGTTGGCAATACTTCCGCTCTGTTCAAGATGCCTCCTATCTTCCTGCTACTTCCTCTTCACGGATGTCCGTCAAGCAGTCTTTCCTTGGGAAATCCGTATTCCAATAGACAACAGTTTTGTGCGAGCACCAGCAACCCGACTGTGCAGAAGCTGAACGTGGCCTCAACTGTCCAAGTTGCTGGTGCTATGCAGGGTCCCTCCCTTTCCTAGTGGTTGGACTCAGCATCCTTTCCGCACAGAAATGAGATGGCTTGTGCCTGGGGGAGGCCGGCGGTGGAGAAGTGCCAAGGCCGGCATTGTCCTTCGCCCAAAAAGGCAGTGCCAGCCCTGCATTCCACATGTAGAAGAGATGGGTGGGAGCCAGACCTTATGTAGTCATGTCGGAGTCCTGTCAAAGTGCATCTGCAATGCGCCGACATTGGTGGAGCTGTAACTACGGTCAGGGACAGTACATGTCATTTCTACGGCCCACTGTGTGCGACCGTGGTGCCGTTGTCACACAATAAGCCGCACCAGCAAACTTGGACAGGTTTACGCCGCTTTTGCCTCCACAGTTTGGCGTACGTCCCCTTGGTCCAGCCAAATATGTCCGCCTCTACCACCCTTTTCTTCCGCCGTGTCCACGCTGTCGAAGCCGCCACCCCCCAGGTGCCAAGTCCCATTACCCGAGCCTGGCATATCACATGTGCAAGTGGACGCAACGGTGTCCACGCTGTGCTCACCTGGTAGATGCCTTGGCAAACGTAGTCCACACAGTGAGCTGAACTTCTGAGGTGTAAATGAACGATGTTTGTATGAGGAAATCGACAGATGGCTGTCTCCGCGCAAACGTGAAAATCGGAAGCCATGTTGACCGACAACTGAAAGAACATGGTGGTCAAACTGCACTGCGTCAAGGTAAAGGTTGTTGCCATGGCGCCAACTGCATTGGCTCACCCGTGAGTTTCAAGTCTGGTTGTCAAGAGGTTTCCCTAAAATCCACCATCCCACTTACAAGAGTACATCCCTTAAAATGTCACACGTAAACTTTGCATAGCATTTCAGCCATTCACTACAACCCGCAAAAGCACACCCTCCTTGAGCTACGGGACAACAGTGTGGAAGGCTGACTGCGAGAGAAACGGAATTCCACAGCCATCGCCAGGATCCTGCGACGTTGCCAAACAAGGGTGGAATTTCAACCCTACAATAATGTTTAGAACCGCCTTTACGAACAGCGAAAGTGCCATCACCGATTTCCTGTATGTTACAAGCGGATAAAGGGTACTCCTCAGTGTAACTTCTAGATGGTCATCCATTGGCAGCTCATAGCGTGACAACCTGCCGCTTCATCTCATGCCCTTTGAGGAGGCCAACGCTATTCGTGAGTCCTTCAGGCAGGAACTATGGGATGAACGACGTCAATTTCCTCTGTTGCACGTCCTCGGACAAAAATGCTGTTCACCAATGGCTGGTCAGGGTGGCGGTAGGACGTGTCGCACAGATCTCCAACGCCACATGACACCCTGTGGTGGGGCAGTGATCAGTAAGGACACACACACAGGAGGTAGAGGAGGACATTGGTGCTCAGGAATTATTGAGTGAAATGGGTGGTTTTTACCACTCAGACGGACAGGAGTGGAGGAGCAGGAGCAATCTGTAGAGTGAGAGGAGGAGACAGAAGGACCCAGACGCACCGTGGCAGTATGCTGTGAGGAGATGGAGGGCAGGGAGTCCCATCGCAATTCCTTTGGCACAAGATGGCCCATAGGCATGCTCGGCAATTGCTTACGCGTAGCGACAGCCGTAATAATAACCATCAGAGCAGAGGGATGACTTTTGGCTGTCCCACCTTGTTGGGACCGCTAACCGTCCTAAAACCGTAGTCTGAAAAAATGGTGGCCTTATTTTTTCACACCACTGCTGAGAGGGAGGTCCAAAATAAAGACTATTAAAAACCACCTAGGTGTAAGATGGGGCCTCCTTGGTCTCTGCCTTTTCCTGCGCCAACCGTCCATCCCTCAGACACTGTGGGCCCTGTGCCGCTCGGCGTTTTCCGGCTGCCATTGAGCAGCAGGGAGGTGTGGGGTGGTAGGAAGCAGTGGCAGCTCCACCAGGCAGCGGCTGCCTCAGTCCCAGCAGTCGATGATGAGTAGAGCTATTCTTCAGCCAGCGCAGAGAGGAAACTACTAACCAGCTGCAGCAGCAGCAGCATTCAGGTGGACCTGGAGCAGTACCTCACAAACAACAGGCTATGGGCCTCTACTTGGAGCCAGCACCGCATGCCAACCGAGGTAGACAATCCCCTTGACTACATGTGCAAACAGAAAGTTTGACATTGGCCCCCAACAAGCTGAATTTGCCCCCTTGAGACATGCGGTCATGCCCGGCCAGTACGTGGCCATCGGAGCGCGTGTGTTTAGTCGCGGCAAGGAGGTATATGTACCTCCGCGGGAAAGGACCACGACTGGTCCACAGCATTTTGTCCAAGAGTTGTGGATAGACTCACGTTTGTGAAAATGAATCAGGCGTGGATTAGTCCTGGATTTCAAACCACCAGTTTCCTGGACACAACTGTAACTAACTCCGCCATGGAATCAGCCCCAAACATGCTGTAATTATTATTTAAACATAAGGCCTCTGTATGGGCTCCTTATCAATTTAAGTCTGCTTACGCTTCGCGCAACTATCTGTGCCATGGGCGCGCCTTGTAACCGAAATACCGTTAGGCTGCTTAGAGGGGCCCGAAGGGGTAGATCAAGAAATCAGGAGGTTCCAGCTATAGTGTGTCACATGGGTCCCTGTATTACTTCGAAGACCCTCCCATATTGCTGCTAGACATGTGCATCGCGCGTATAACTCTGAACATGTGTCCACTTCTACAGGTCTCTCAACTTATAGCAACAATCGTGTTTGGTTAGGGCTACCATTTTGTTAAGATAAGGTAAGGCTGTAGTGGCCCTGTCCATTGCTGCTGCCTCCACCGCCAATTTCTGCTGCCATGAGCCTCTGTTGTCTGCTCACGCTGCTGATCGCATTATCCGAGGCTTTTTAATATCTTTCGAGTCCTGTGTCTAGGCTCTTTCCAGTTGAATACGTGCTAGCTGACTACAGCCGCCACCCTGCGCCATAGTGCCCTTCAGTCGTCTGCTCACGCTGCTGGCCTAGATCCAGGTACTGATCTATCAATGAGCGCCCGGCTTGTTAAGAGTTCCCAAACAATGATAGAGTTCCGTTTGGCTCCACATGAACGTGGTTCAGAAACCAGTAGTTTCATGCAGTGCTACTTAAAACGCAAATCGTGTTTTGTGTACAGCCGATACAACAGCGCTGGGTACGTTCAGTTATGTATGTGCGCAGTTAAGCGCAGACACTACCAAAGGCAGCACTAGGACACTTTTATTACTGTGTAGTTACTCGCATTCAAGAGAGCAATAGGCTGACACAAAACCAGTCTCTACCACAAATTGGACCCCAGACCTTGCCAACCTGTTATAGAGGTCGTATAAAGAGGAATTGATGAGGTCTCGTAAAGTAGATTGCATCGGAGAAGAGAGTAGGAGTTTCTGTTACTTGGAGTTGAAACCTGTGAGGGACTATTAAACCTAGGAGCCTGTTGTAATGGCCGTCAATTTGAAAGGCTGCATCCTGCTCCGCCACTCTGCCATTGGGAACTCTTGATAGTTCGTCTCCCCTAAACAGAGCTGCTCTGCTAGTGGAGGACTTTTTTTTATACATGTTTAGGTGCCTTATCTGTATGGCCTTTCAAATATTTAGCACGAGCTAGGTTATGACGCTCTTCGCTCACTCTGACCATGAAATAAAGGCTCTCGCTGTAACTCAGCTCTCCGTCATCTGCCTACGGGCTTATTGCGCAGGCCCGTAATGGTGCCACGTAAGCCCCCGTGACCGAGGTCCATTCATGTCTGAGCTGCGAGGGCCCGTAAAACTTGTCATGGGCCCCTGTAACCAGTGCATCTAATCCTCCTACTGGAGACTTAGCTTGACTGCCTTTGTAGTCTCCAGAGTGTGTCAATGGTCCCTGTACGGCCTCCCATTGCTGCTGTCCTCCAGACGCCACAACTCTGGCCATGTGCCCACTTCGAAGATAAGGTCTCCTCCAGTCACACTGCTGGTGGGTTCCATTTTGGGGGGGGGTTTTTTTTCCCCCCCCCCATAGGGTGCTGTATGGCCTCGCCGATTGTCTGCTGCATTGCACCCGGTAATCTGCCACGTGGCCTCCCCAGTACCGACTGCCGTCATTTAGCTGCTACGACCAGGCCCGTAATCTGTCATTGGGGCCACCTGTACCGCCTCCTCATGCTGCTGGCTCTGAGAAGTCCAGAGTGTGAGTCGCCATCGGGTCCCTGTACCGCGCCCATCCTGCCATTATCTGCTGTCTCCAAGTCGCCACATCAGGTACTCTGACATGTGACACTGTTCAGGTCTCACATGATCACATATAGCCAGCTGGTGGGTTTCCATTTTTGTCATAGGGTGCCTGTAATAGGCTCACCATATGCGTGCTTGCCAGGCCCGAATCTGCCATGGGCCCCGACGCCCGTGACCGACTCCTCATGCAGCTGCCCAGGCCGTAATCCTGTCATGGGCTCCCTGTATAACCGCCTCCTCATGCAACTGCCAGGTCCCAGAGTGTGTGTCATGGGTCCCTGTAAAGCGGCCTCCCATTGCAGCAGTCTTCCATCGCCACACGCTGCTCAATGTGCCACTTTCCAGGTCTTCCTCACAAACAAAAAAAAACTGCTGGATGGGTTCCATTTTGTCATAGGTTGCTGTATAGGCCTCCCATGGCTGCTAGCCAGTCCCCCTGAGTAATCTGCCAATGGGCCCCCGTACACAGACTCCTCATGCTGCTGCCCAGGATACCCGTAATCTAATTCATTATAAGGGCCACCTGTAGCTGGCTGCTCCTCATGCTAGCAAGTCCAGGTCCCAGAGTGTGTCATGGGTCCCTGTACGGGCCTCCCATTGCTGCTGGTCTCCATCGCCACACTCTGCCATGTGCCACTTTCAGGTCTCCTCACACTGGCTTGTGGAGTGTTCCCCATTTTTAGTCATAGGGATCTGCTTGTAATGTGGCCTCCCATTGCTGCTGTCCATGTGCCCCGTAGAATCTGGCCATGGGCCCCCGTACCGACTCCTCATTGCCTGCTGCCAGGCCCGTTAATTCTGACACTGGGCCCCTGTACCAAGCCTCCTCATGCTGCTGCCAAGGTCCAAGAAAGTGTGTCCCATGGGTTCCCTGTACGGGCCTCTTGGTACCATTGCTGCTGTTCTCCATCGCCACATAAAAAAAAAAACACCACAAACTCTGGCCATGTGCCACCTTTCAGGTCTCCTCACACTGCTGGTCGGGTTTCCATTTTGCATATGGAGCTGTATGGCCTCCCTATTGCTGCTGCCGATCTCCACGCCACGACTGTGGCTCCACACTCCTGGTTTTTTGGCCACCCGTGACTGCCCAAATGAGTGAAGTGTGCGGTGATTCTAAGATCGACGGCACTCATCTGCCATGTCATACTGACTGACCAGTACTTAGATTCTCTTCCCCAGCAGACTCCCAGGGGCATTTAAATTTAAAGGTATCAGTGTTCTGCATCTAATATGTAGTAACGGCTGTACTTCTGGAAGCCTAGAAATAACACCCCATTATTATATAAGTTAAATCTCGCAGCTCGCGAAACTGAGATTCGACTCGAATCGTAAAATTTTATTCCGCGAATGTCGGCAAATCAGCCTGAATCGAATTTTTTGAAACTTACTTCGTCCTCATCTCTAATTGTTAAACCTTCTCAACAAATACCTTGAATGGCCTGTCCAATTGTATACACCAGTCTATCCATACATTGACAAAACCTCAAAGGTACAAAAAAAAAATTAATCCATCAATATTAACTTCCCAACCACCAAAAGTAATATTAAATTAATCATATGCACGTATCAACCTTAATATTTTTAGGATTTGTCAGAAAAACGTTACGCCAGTAAAGCTCTGTCGATGAATCTTATGGAAATTTCAAATACATTATTAGCTGTACATCTCCGCATACATACAAAGAAAACCGTAAGAGGAAGAGGCACGCTGTGTCTTTTATAATCTTTAAACACGAAATGAACTTAAAGTATAATGATTTTCAAATGCACAGATGATTCATTGTGATAGAAGAAGGGGGGAAATGCTAGCAGTATATCACCGCAAGAGTTTGGTGAAATTCCAAAACTTCTTTCTTTCTTTTTTTTTTTCTCGTTGATTGTCATTATTGTTCTAAAAAGTTATTTTGAAGTATGGAATCAACTAAATTTGTAGACTTCAAGCACAATTAGCCCATTGGACGTGACAGAAATTGTACAACCAGTCAGAAAAAAATGAAATCTTACATAAAGTTGGACCGGTAGGAATGTTAGTAGAACACAGAGGAAATACTTGGATACAAGCTTGATAAAGTTTTATAGGAAATCAACTGAGCAGTCCTTAAAGCTGAAATCCAGGATCAGCAAATGTCCAAATCCGTTCCTCACGTGTCTTCTTCATGAATCTCGGTGAGCTTGGTGTATTTCTTCCAGATCTGTGCAGTCATCCAATGTGAGACTTCCTGTAATAAAGACCGCTCACTTGCTGCTCTGTCAGGAATGGACTCGCCAATGGTGGTGGGACTCACCTGCCTTGTGGGCTGCAGTACCAAGGCTGGCCAGCGGGTGCTCTCAGCAGCCAGAATCTCACTCCTGCAATCAGGGCCATCACCTGAGGCTGATTGCAGGAGGTGTATTTAAGCAGGACCAGGCCTGTGACCAGTGCCTTGGTGTATGTTTCCCATGAGCCCCTGTACCCTGTCTGCTTCCTGCCTGATCCTGCTTTGATCCTGACTCTGAACCTGACTCTGAACGAACTCCGCCTGTCCTGACCTCGGCTATTCCTGACCACTCTTCCGCTCGCTCCTGGTACCCTGTTTGCCCGTTAGCTACCGAACCAGCCCGCCTGACTACATTGTTGGTGCTCCATATATATATATATACATATATATATATATATATAAATCAGTTTAGGTTTGGGTTTGTTTTACCTTGTTGTATGTATTTGTGTTAGTTTTGGGTTTGGTTTGTTGCACTGTGTTTATGTTTGTGTTGTCCTTAATAAATTATCTTGTTTACATGCTATACCTGAAGTCTGTGTTTCCTTGTGTCGGTCCACACACCTCTGGTCATTCCCGGAGCCCTGACATGCTCTCTCTGATTGTGCAGGTGGTGCTTGGTCTTGTCTCCGCCCCTCCTGTAGTTTTCTGTAGTGGGTGGAGCCTTCTGGGCCCCTCCCACAGCTCTCCTCTTTGCACAGGCTATGTACAGCACAGTGATGAATGTCACCGCTACTTTACGAGGCAATATCCGGGGTTGCAAAGGCAAGTTGGTGCACAGAAAGTGGATTTATATCCTTTGTGGCTATTGAGGAATATATTTAGCTGAAAGTTTTCGTGGACCGCGTCATGTACTTTTACTGCAGCGGGGTGGCAGCTCTGCACTGGATCACATGCATGTACATGATGCAGCATGGGTAGGGGATTGCGCGCAGCCACGCTGCCCTGTCTGTGTTGTCATTCGGTCAGCAGGTCCCAGCTAATGATTTATGGCCGGGACCTGCTGATCGGCTTGGTGAATGACAGTACAGAGCCATCTGTTTACTAACAACAAGGCGAGGACTGACCATTTGGAAACCCGTGCACTGGCCGAGGGCCTGGGGTCAGTAGGGGGCCCCATGAGATGCCTCTGGTAGCTTTTTCATAGGTTTTTTTGAGTTTGGTCAAGGACACAGGGGCCCCCAATGATCCCCTATTGCCTGGGGGCCCCATGAGTTGTCAGTCCGCCCTGCTAACAACACAGAGCTCTGTACACAGAGCATCTCTTAAAAACATCACACATTATGCATTGTTAGGTACACAGTTCGCCCTTTAATTGCCCCTAGATGTTAACCCCTTCCCAGCCAGTGTTGTTAGTACAGTGACAGCGTATAGATTCATCCCTGAACACTTTATTAGTGGCACTGGTAATGTCAGTGTCAGTTAGTCAGTTGCCATCCAGTGTCAGTTAGTGTCAGATTGCCATCCGTACTATCACAGTCCCTCTATAAGTCGCTGATCACCACCATTACTAGTATAAACAAAATAAATAAATGAAAATTCCAGTTTATCTCTCTACTTATGTTGCTCTCTCTTCCTATCAGAATTTTCCTTCCCAGCACAATTGCATGCACTTGGTAGGCTATCTGGTTGCTGCTGTACAGGGGATTGCAGGAGGCTGATAGCAAGTCACATTCAGGTGATTTAACCACTTGACGCACAATCACATACATGCAGGTTATTGCGCTCAAGTGGTTATACTGGGGCCATGGCTGCAGCTGTCAGCCATAACCCCAGTATTCAAATTTTCAGCCAGCGATTTCCTTTCGTGCTAAAAGTAATCCAAGTATCTGATTAGCTGCTGGATCACTTTTAGAAGCATCGGAAGGGGCCATACTGTGTGTGTACAGTTCCATATGATCTGTCAGTGATTGTGTATCATTTTCTGCATGGACTACAGGAGCCCAGAGAACACAACATAGGTCACCTCCTCCGGGCTCTTTCCTCTCTGCCACTTCTCCCTCCCTGCTCCAGGCTGTCCCCTGGTCCCAGATCTGGGTGTGGGTGGGGGAATGAGCTCAGTGGAGAGTGGCCACTCTTGGGAACACCAGGGCACCCCCTCGATCCAGCCAGATCTGTCTCTCCCTCCAGCAGCAGAAAGCCGGCGGGAGGGAGAGAGGGAGAAACCTCAAACCGGATTTCAGCTGCTGGAGGGAGAGATACACAGTGCATTGTTCTGCAACTGCTGTTCTCCACCACACCGATCCTCCTGCTGTTGTCCGGGCCACCTACAGAAGCACCGGTGGTACCCCGTAGCTGATGGCCCTGCATGGGTCTGTCCACCACTGCTCACCAGGCACTTTCTTCTGGGGGCGGCAGTGCCGCTCCCCAAAAAAATTGTTATAAGATGAAAGTGTATGCAGTGACCATAGAACTCCTTTAATGGTGTATTAATGATTAATATGGAGCTGCATTCATCTGTGTCTTTTGTATCTGTCTGGAGCTCATCTTTATAGCTAGTCTATACTCTAAAAATCAGTCAAAGATATAAAAAGTATGATGTCCCATTGAACATTTACAGGACCAGGGGCGGACTGACCATTTGGAAACTCGGGCACTGCCCGAGGGCCCGGGGTCAGAAGGGGGCCCCATGAGATGCCCCTGGTACCTTTTTCATAGGCTTTTAGAGTTTGGGCAAGGACACAGGGGCCCCATGATCCCCTATTGCCCGGGGGCCCCATGAGTTGTCAGTCCACCCTGTTCAGGACAGTCTAAGCACAAAAAGACTTACCTTTTCATGCCAGACTGCCCCTGGTGGTTGATCACATGACCAGTGCCAAGGCATTGGTCACCTGCTCTCTGCTGAAAGGGAGGATCATTGTTATGATAGACCTGCTGAATGGTAGCTTTGTCTAAATATTAGTTCCCTTAAAGGATTTAGCCTTTATATATCAACCCCCCTCCAGTACATTTTACCGTTACCTATCCTGCCTCTTGGATAGCTTCTTCTCAAAAGTCTTCTAACTGAGGTCTGCTCCTTCAGTGTCTGCACACCTCAATCTGCAGTCCTATGGAAAGACCATCTAACCATGGAATGAAAAATAGGCAGCCTGTAGATTGGGGAATGTCAAAAAATGGTGGAGCAGATTGTTTGACAGCCTTCATTTCACCATTTTGACCTTTTCACGGTGTTACAAGAACTACCAGATTTTGGCCTTGCCTAGAACATTGAGAATGATCTCCAAATGTCATGGTTTAGCCTGCAGTTTCCTGCTTGTGAAATTCTTACCTCTTTGCTGCAGTAGTTTCTTCTGGACCTGTGATTCTACTCAAATGTGCTCCTAGCTTCTGTGTTCACCAGGCCTGGACTGGCCATAGGCCACCCGGTGTGGGTTGGGGCCACCAGGCTTAAGAAAATTGGCCTGTTGATGAAAGGGTCGCACAGCGGGAGGTAAGCAGCAACCGCAGTCTGGACAAGGCTAACACAGACCACTCACCTCCCGCTGTGTGGCAATGCCTGAAGCAGGGCCGATAGGAGGAGCGGCAGTGACAGCTCCAGTGACAAGCAGGAAGCACTGCCCAGGACACACAGACACCTCCTCGGCAGGCCGCTGCACACACAGTTGCAATGAAGGGACAACGGCAGCCTCTCTCCTTCACCGGCCAGCACACTGTGACAGCTCTGTAGCATCGGTGGATAGGGATCTCTATTTGCTGGACGAGCTATCTCTTTGCTGGATGGGATGTCTCTTTGCTGGATGGGCTGTCTTTTTGCTGAATGGGCTGTCTCTTTGCTGGATGGGCTGTCTCTTTGCTGTACAGGCTGTCTCTTTGCTGGTGGAGCTGTGTCTTTGCTGAAATGGGCTGTCTCTTTGCTCAACAGGCTGTCTTTTTGCTGGTTGAGCTGCCTCTTTGCAGAATGGGCTGTCTCTTTGCTGGATGTGCTGTCTCTTTGCTGGATGGGCTGTCTCTTTGCTGGGCAGGATGTCTCTTTGTTG